TGTGCAGGCTTGGCCTGTTGCTCAGCTTTCGCTTCCCTTCAGGATCTCGCCTTTTCCCACATGTTCTAAGGAACGTAATGACCTGTAAAACGGTTTGAAACCTACTGCTAAAGAATGTGTTGTCAAAGGAGTGGGCGCCGTTTGGAAACTTCCTGATCGACTAATATTTTCTTGTGTTAATAACGTAAATTCTCTGGGCAACTTCATTTTTGTAGATCCGTCGGAGGTGGATGTTGACGGTGCTGGAAGAAACGAGACCTTCGAACAGATCACCACCCGCTTTGACCTGATCTCTCTAACTTTCGTTAACAGATACTATTACAACAAGAGGATTCTCCATAAGACAAAAGGCAAAAGGTTTACCTACAAGTTCAACTTCAACAAGCTGGTGATGCCCAACTACCCGTTCATTAACATTCGGCCTAACGGTGAGTGCGGGGTCGGGGCTGCTGCCTTTAACTCTCCCCGCTCCTGGTGTGTGGAACGGGGCCGGGACCGACCCCGCAGCCTCTGCAGATCCCCTCTCGGTCACCTCCTACGCTTGAAAGACTGCCGGGGCAATCAGCGCTGCTGCGGTGGGAATGTCTGGACGTTGATAAAGCCTTATCTGGAGCGCTCTTGCCCTCGGGTTTGTCACAGACGCATCTGTGGTTGACTTCAGGGGAGACTGGAGGCATTTTGGTTTCCTATTTGAGCTTGCTCGTCGGGCTGCCTTTATGGGTGCCGTGGGTTTGCTTTGCTTTGCTGTCAGGGGGGGGGGGGGGGCCTTAGTGTCCTTGGGATAAGAGGGTTTTAGTTCTGTTGCAGCGACCTTGCCTCGCTCACATGCTTGTAACTAAGTTTATGGTGCCATATAAATGTGACCCTTCTTGACAAGGAGCTTAGAGGTGCGTGGCGAGGCATGCATGTGAGCACTATCAGAAAGTTCGCAGCTTAACAGCAGTTTGCTCTCCTCCCTGCTTCTGCAAAGGCCCCTTGTTTGCTTCAGTTCTGCTCCTTTTATAGCAAAAGGAACTTTTCTTACCCAACTTCTATCTAGAGCTCAGAGGAACGTACCAGCGAGCGCAGAGCAGTTTCCAGAGAAGAGTAGTAACTCGTCTGAGTTTGACTAAAATCGCAGGTATTTCTCGGGCCTCCCTGCGGCAGAACGGCCTGCTGACATTCAGGATGACAAAAACGTTTGGGAACGAAGCGTAATTGTTCCCTGCTCATCCTAAAAGGCCTTTTGAGTCTCTTGTCAGGAGCAGTAGCGGGAATTCACTCTGGGTTTGTCCCAGGGTCAGCAGTACTGCTGCGGTTTCTCTGGAGGAGGGTCCTTTGTTCGCAAGATCCTTTTTGGGGGAGTTAAGTCGTGTGTCCCCCCCCCAATAACTAGATTTCTACAGTTGGGGCGATTTGCCTGCGTAACTGCACAGCCGCCGCGCAACCGGGGAAATGAGTGGCCGTGGAGTCCGTCAAAAAAAAAAACCCAACAAACCCCCTTCTGGAAGTCATTACGGCGAGGCCCGAGACTGCAAACTCTCCGCAGCAAAGAAAGGGCGAACGCAGAGGCGCCTGAACCAGCCCTTCTCCCGGCGCTGTGCGCTTAGTTCTCACCTTGTGAAGAGTGCCCCAGGGGAAGCCTTGAAGATTCGTCTAGCAGGGAGAGAGCCGGGGAAAGTGGGGATTGAATGTTGACTCTGAAACCCCGGCGGCTGAGAAAAACAGGTTACGTGTGGGCAAGAGTATTTCTCATCGGTGCTCGTGTAGCCTGTGCCTACGTACGGCGGTGACTGCTCGTTGATCTTGGCAGTGGAAGCGACCTGCATCCCTCCCCGCCCCCGGGGAGTCCCAGCCGGGCGCGAGCCTGAATGTGATTTCAAGGCATTGTCTTCTAAGCAAACAGTCACCCCAAAAACGGGGCTGGGAGAATAGAAACCTTCACAAAGGCGTTCTGCTTCACCTGTGCGGGCCACGCCGCCTTTATGGCGGTGGGGAGAAGGAAACGTATTCTCCAGGAGTCCTCAGCCAAAGCATGGGGGTGTAAGATGTAGTATGAAGCTGCGCTGCGAATCTATAATTACTTGCAGCAACGAGTCTGGGCAGTTCCAGCTCGATATTGCTCACTGCTGTTCCTTTTCCCTGTTTGCAGCCACTCCCTCCTATCTCTGGGGCATGCATTTAAAAAAAGAAGTTTGGAGAACTGGAATGCACTTGTCTAATTACAACCTGTTTTCTTTCCTTCTGGCTGGGATGGGGGTTGGGATATCAAACCTGTTTGGGGCACTGGAATGAGGTTTCTTTCTCTCGAACTCTCACTCGTGCAGTTTTGAAGGGAAGGGAGAATCGACGGACGCCTTACGGAGGTGAGAAAGCGGGTGGAAGGATTTGCCTCGATGCGGCTCGTTGTGGCACGAGTTAAGCCGTAGACAGGCGGCTCCGTAGGCAGGGCGGTGGAAGAGGAGCCAGCGAGAGCTGGCAGCAACGGTGGAGAGAAGACGTCTTCCCCAAAAAAGCACAAATCAGTGACGCTCAGTCAGCCCTGAGAGCGTGAGGCTCGCCAGCAGCGCTTCTGCCGGTGGCGTTCGAGCACGATTGCTTAACCGTGCTCCTAACGCGCCGTCGTCGAGACGTTTTCTGGTTAAACCAGAGCGAGGAGGTCAGGGGAGGGCGCCTGGAAGTGGAAGTTATTTCAGTGGCACTGGAGGTTCACGAAACCTCAGCCGGGGCGGAGAGAGGAGAAGATTCATCCCCAGCAGTGGCGAGGTTTTGAGGTGGGCAGAGGAGACTGGAGCTATGCAGGGGAAGGGAGCAGATGGGAAAGGCGCCTCCCGTCTAATCGTCTGCTGCGTTGCTGATAGCGCGTGGTATTTTTGTGTTACTCTTCCAAACGCCTGCGGGTGCAGCCCAAAAAGCAGCTCTTTACCTGTGATTTAACTCCCTCAGCAACGGCGCTCTTAACTCTCTCCCGTGCTCTTTCTCTTTTCCCCCTCCCTGTCCCAGGTGTCGTGCCGCAGAGCGCTCCTCCTGTCCCCACGGCTTCGTCCCGCTTCCATTTCCCACCGCTGGACAGCCACTCTCCCACCGAAGATGCCCAGCCCAGTCGGTTCTCCGGTGGGTCCCTGGTCCCAGCCAACCCAGAAGCGCTGGGTGACGGCGGCGAGAGGAAGCCGGACGTGCCGGAGCTGGAGGACGGCTCCTCAGATTGGCGCCGTGGCGTGGATCTCATGGCCTCGCGCAACGCCGTGGGCGCCGGTAGCGTCAAGCACCAGAAGCGGAAGCCCGATATTATGCTCGCTCTCAGCGTCAACCACCAGAAGCGCAAGCCCGATATTATGCTCCCTCTCTTCACCAGGCCCGGGATCTACCCGGATCCTCACAGCCCCTTTGCCGTGTCCCCTCTGCCGGGGCGCGGCGGGGTCCTCAACGTCCCGATCTCTCCTGCGTTGTCCCTGACTCCCACCCTCTTCTCCTACAGCCCCTCTCCGGGCCTCAGCCCCTTCACAGGTAGCAGCTGCTTCTCTTTTAACCCCGAGGAAATGAAACACTACCTGCATTCGCAGGCTTGCTCCGTCTTCAACTACCACCTGAGTCCGCGGACTTTCCCCCGCTATCCGCTCATGGTGCCACCACTACAGTGCCAAATGCCCCTCGAGGAGCAGCCCCAGTTCCCCATCAAGCTACAGCCTCCACCCGTGGGGCGCAAAAACAGAGAGAGACTGGAAAGCGCTGAGGAGCCGGCGGCCCCCCAGCTGGCTACCCCTCCTCCCAGGGTCAAGGTCGAGCCCGTGATGGACAAGGAGGCAGAGTCCGAAGAGCCACCGGCGAAAGGAAAAGACAAAAGTGAGAGAGAGGAAGGCTCCGGCGCGGCAGCCGGCCTGGAAGA